CAGCAGTACCACTTCTGGGTACTTATCTGAAGGAAGTAACAACACTAACTTGAAAAGATAGCTGCATCCCTATAATCATTGCAGCATTATTTACAATAGTAAAGTTATGGAACAACCTACCTGTCCATTGATGGATGAATGGATAAAGAAATTGTGTGTACACACACACACACACACACACACAGAGGAATATTACTCAGCCATAAAGAAGTATGAAATCTTGCCATTCATGACAACATGGAGGGACCTCAAGGGCATTATGCTAAGTGAAATAAATCTGAGAAAGATAAATACTGTATGATCTCTCTTTTATGTGGAGTCTGAAAAAAAATGTTCTTAGGTACAGAGAACAGTTGGGTGGTTGCCAGGGAGTAGGGGTGGGGGAGTAATGGATGAAAGGGGTCAAGAGGTAAAAAGAAAACAAGCAGTAAATCACACACAGAAGTTGTTGAAGTTGACAAAATACGGCCATATATGTATTTGTATGGCATCTTTCTCATTTCTGTAGCAACCTTCTCAACTGCATATCTATATATACCTGCAGTGGGGAAATATTGAGAGTAGGAAATTAGTAGTTTGCTGTTCTTCTTTCAGTTATGCTATATTTGATCATCTCTAAAAATGTCATGCCACCATCGGTTGGTCATTATATTATCCTAGCTATTTTAATAAATATATTCAGGAGGTCTTTTTAAATAATATTTGTCATCATTATTGCTGTGTATACCATTATGTTAAAGGTCCTACCCAGTGCAGTAAGGCAAGAGAAACAAATTAAAGGCAATAATCTATATTGGAAAGGAAGAAGTGAACTTATGTTTATTCACAGACAGTATGATCAGTGATATAGAAGATTTGAGGGAGGGACGCCTGGGTGGCTCAGTTGGTTAAGTGTCTACCTTCGGCTCAGGTCATGATCCCAGGGTCTTGGGATTGAGCCCCTCATCGGGCTCCCTGCTCAGCAGGGAGTCTGCTCCTCCCTCTGCCTGCTGCTTCCCCTGCTTGTGCTCTCTCTCTCTCTCACTTTCTGACAAATAAAATCTTCAAAAAAATGTTTGAGGGAATCTACAGAGAAGCTACTAGAGCTGATACATTTAGCAAGGTGGCAGGATACAAAATCAGTGTATAAAAATCAATTCTGTTTCTACATATTAGCAACAACCAATCAGAAGCTGAAGTTAAGGCAGTAGCATTTACGATAACATCAAAACATGAAATACTTAGGGATAAATCTGAAAATTCAGGTGCAAGATCTATATACTGAAAACTACAAAACACTTTTGAGAGAATGTAATGGAGACCTAAGTAAATGGAGAGATGCACTGTTTTTATGGTTGGAAAACCCAATATTGCTAATACCTCCATTCTCCAAAATGATCTATAGATTCAGTGCAATTCAGGTCAAAATCTCAGTAGGCTCTTTTGTAGAAATTGACAAACTGATTCTCAAATTCATGTGGAAATGCAAAGAACCTAGAATAAAAACAATTTTGAAAAAGAACAAATTTGGAGAACATGCCATGATTTCAGGATTTACTGTACAGCTATGGTAGGTAGTATCTAATTGGTGTCAAGATAGATCTATCGATTGGAGTAGAATAGAGTCCAGAAATAGTCCATACATACATGGACAATTGATTTTTGACAAAAATGAGAAATCAGTTCGTTGGAGAAAGGATAGTGTTTTCCAATTGCTGGAACAATGAAATATTCATACATGAAAAAGACAGCAAAGAACCTCAAGCCATACTTTGCAACATACATAAAAACTAACTCAGGGATGCCTAGGTGGCTCAGCCGGTTAAGCATTTGCCTTCGGCTTGGGTCATGATCCCAGGGTCCTGGGATGGAGTCCCACATCGGGCTCCCTGCTCAGTGGGCAGTCTGCTTTTCCGGAGGCTCTGCCCCTCCCCCCTGCTTGTGCACTCTCTCTCTCTCTCTTATGCTCTCTCTCTCTCTCAGATAAATAAAATCTTAAAAAAAAAAAAAAAACTAACTCAAAGTGAATGGTAGATCTAATGTAAAACCTAAAAACCAAACATTTTTAGAAGAAAACATGAGTGCGTTAAGGCCTGAGTTAGAAAAAGATTTCTTAGATGTGTCACCAAAGCGAGATCCATAAAAAGATAATTTGAACTTCATCAAAATAAAGTATTTCTGTCTTTTTATAGACACTGTTAAGAGAATGAGAAACAAGGCATGGTCTAGGAGAAAATATTTGTGAATGACTTGTATCTAGAATATATAAAGAACTCTCAAAACTCAGTAACTAAAAAACAATTCAGTAAAAATGTGCAAAACATTTGAACAGACACTTCACTAAAGAAGATATAGGGAGGGGCACCTGGGTGGCTCAGTCGGTTAAGCATCCGACTCTTGATCTCAGCTCAGGTCTTGACCCTCAGGGTTGTGAGTTCAAGCCCCCCACATTGGGTTCCATGCTGGGTGTGGAGCCTAATTTAAAAAAAAAGGGAAGAAGATACAGCCATAAATATACATGAAAAGAAGGTCAACATCAGTCATTAGGAAAATATGAATTAAAACCACAGTGACGTATTACTACACACCTATTAGAATGGTTAAAATTTAAAAACCCCAATAATACTGTTGGGAAGGATGTGGAGAAACTGGAACTGGTCAGAATGTGAAATGGTAGAACCAATTTGGAAAATGATTTTGTAGTTTCTTAACAAGTTAAACATATTCTTACCATGAGATTCAGCTATTTCACTCCTAGGTATTTTCCCAAGAGAAATGAAGGCATGTGTCCATATAAAGATGTATATGTAAATGTTCATAATAGCTTTTTTGGTAATGGCTAACAACTGAAAAAATTCCCAAATGTGCTTCAACAGGCAGAGAACTAAACAAATAATGATATATCTACACAATGGAATATTGCTTAGCAATTAAACAGAAATGAAGTATCGATATAGACAGCAACATGAATGAATCTTACAAAAATCCTGAAGGAAAGAATCCTGGTTTAAAACAAAAGAAAATGAATGTCCAATTACCTTTACATAAAATTCTGGAAAGAGCAAACTAGAGTGACAGATCAGATTAGTTAGGGGGTGGCAAGGAAGGGCGGGAAAGAGGAAGGACAGGGAAAGATGTTTGGGCTGATGGATATGTTCACTATGTTAATTATGGCAGTGATTTCATGTGTGTGTCAAAACTTAACAAGTTGCATACTTTAAATATGTGTAGTTCATTGGACACATACTTACACCTCAATAAAACAAAACGAAAAAAAACAGAGTCCAAGCTCTGCTGTTCGAAAGCCTGGGTAACCCAAAATCTATAAAGTTATCAAACTCAACACCCAAAAAACAAATGATCCAATCAAGAAATGGGCAGAAGACATGAACAGACATTTTTCCAAAGAAGACATCCAAATGGCCAACAGACACATGAAAAAGTGCTCAACATGGCTCGGCATCAGGGAAATCCAAATCAAAACCTCAATGAGATACCACCTCACACCAGTCAGAATGGCTAAAATTAACAAATCAGGAAATGACAGATGTTGGCGGGGGTGCAGAGAAAGGGGAACCCTCCTACACTGTTGGTGGGAATGCAAGCTGGTGTAGCCACTCTGGAAAACAGAGGTGCCTCAGAAAGTTGAAAATAGAGCTGCCCTACAACCCAGCAATTGCAGTATTGGGTATTTACCCCAAAGATACAAAAGTAGGGATCCGAAGGGGTACGTGCACCCCGATGTTTATAGCAGCAATATCCACAATAGCCAAACTATGGAAAGAGCCAAGATGTCCATCAACAGATGAATGGATAAAGAAGAGGTGGTATATATATACAATGGAATATTATGCAGCCATCTGCCATTTGTGACGATGTGGATGGAACTGGAGGGTATTATGCTGAGCGAAGTAAGTCAATCAGAGAAAGACATGTATCATATGATCTCACTGATATGAGGAATTCTTAATCTCAGGAAACAAATTGAGGGTTGCTGGAGTGGTGGGGGGTGGGAGGGATGGGGTGTCTGGGTGATAGACATTGGGGAGGGCAACCCTCAGTTTGTTTCCTGAGGTTAAGAATTCCTCATATCAGTGAGATCATATGATACATGTCTTTCTCTGATTGACTTACTTCACTCACCATACATTACATCATTAGTTTTTGATGTAGTGTTCCATGATTCATTGTTTGCATATAACACTCAGTGCTCCATTCAGTACATGCCCTCTTTAATACCTCAACTTAACATAATAAAATTTAAAAAAAGGTTTTTAAAAAAAACAAAAAGCCTGGGTAAGATGTGGATAATAACAGCGCCCAACTCTTAGGGTTGTTGTGAGGACTGGGTATTATAATACATGTTCAGAGACTAGACCAGTGCCTGACTCAGAGCTCGGTTCACCATTTGATGTCACTGCATCTTGTCTTCTACGGGTTCATCAGCTCTTGGTGAGCAAGGCACCACGTCTCTGCCATCTTTTGCCTAGTTTGAAACTTGCTGGGTATCTATTTGTATAATCCTCAACTTATATCATGAACAGTGCAAGGAAGTGTTTTGACAAATTTTAAACCTGTAATTATGTAACAGAATTAGCACCTTTCAAACATGTGCAGTACGGATAAAGATTGAACAAAGGAACAGGAATGTGGCCGACACTGCTCTGGACTAACTTGTGAATTGCGTTATGTGTTTAGAATCATATGGGAAATACTTAAAACGTTACATTGTCTTACAGATGTCTTTATCTTTATTTGTACACATACACACAAGTGTGTGTATACCCTATATATTTCCTAAAAATTGTTTCCTTTGAGCTCTTGAATGTAGCTGTCACCCTTATTTCTTTGACTTATTTTAGAAAGCAGTTAAGTCCTTGGGAAAATCACTTATGTCATCGGTGAGGAATGTCACCAAAATAGCTTCTCACTTAAGTTCCCATCGCCAGAGCTAACCCACAGGAGGTTCCGATAAATTCAAATATTTAATAACTTGTATTTTTCTTTCTCCTTAAACACAGGCCCTGTGGTCCTGGAGGCAGGATCATGTGGTGGATTGTTGGCAGTCAGCAGTCTGTGGAGCTTTTGCAGGTGCAAAGGATTATATTATACTGGGAAAGACCAAAGGGGGGAGAAAAATGTGAAAATATTAACTATGCAAAAACAACATTCTTTAGAAATTCCAGATTGTTTAGATGAAGAGAGTTCCACTAGTTGTTTGAGAAAAGAGAGTGTCTTAGGGGGAAAAAAAATGCTTAAAAGGTGTCTGCTTGACAGACAACCAATTTGTTTTTGACAAATTTTTCTTTTTCTTTTTATCTTTATTAAAGCCTTCACTCAGGCCCTTGGATTATCTTAAAGATGATTTATAAAGTCCTCTGTGGGAAGAGACTTGCCATGGGTGCGGGGCTCACTGTGCAGCTGTCTGCCTTGAGCAGGGCTTTGGGGCTTTCAGTGATTTCTGCAGAAGGCAATGATTCACGGTTCGTGTGACACGTTTGACAGTGCCACAGATTAACTGCTGTCAGGAGAGCCAAGGCTGCTCGGCAAACTTACGGAAGGCTAAACGGGTCTGGGTAGAAAATATGGAGATCGAAGCATCTGGGCATTTTCTAGACATTAAACCAAAAGTGAAGTGACAATATCCAATACTGTGTCATCCATCACCAAACTGTGTGCATTTTCCAGTGAGGTTGTTGTAAGAACTCAGGTGCTTTAAAAAATTAAATAAGTTTTAGCAGTCAAAGAGAGAAGTGCATTTTTCTGTTGCAAATAAAGGTAAGTTAAAATTACAGTTGAAATAAATTGAAATGGAAATTTGCCAGAAACTGTAAACTGCTAATTTTGATGTGTAGCCAGTAAATAGGTAGTTTTGGGATGTCAGCTTTAGTAGAAAATAATTCTTTTCCAATTTGTTTCATGGTTGTTGGATTGGGTTTTTTGTTGTGGTGATTAGGAAAACAGAAACCATGTATTATAGGATTCTTTATTAATAATTGGATCCATTCAACTTGTAGAATTGATAATCAAAAGTAAGAATCTTGCCTCTAGACACGAAGCAGGCTCAGATTGATTATGACAGGTAATTATTTCCACCTGACACATAGTCATTAGCTGTGTTAAATGAGTAGGTGGTCTTGAATCACTTTCCAGAGGTCAAGAGTCTTTACTCCCCCAGTCCTTAAGAGAAACGTGTGCTTTTTTTTTTACTCCCTCCAGGGGACAAAGTGAGCATTATGGAAATTTAGTCACCCTGGATAAGGAAGGGCACTTTCTAAATTCACCAATACCATAAAACTTCCATGGGATGAAGCAAAAAGTGTTCACTCTCTGGTCCCGTGGCTGAAGAGTAGCTGATTCAAAGATTTGCTTACAAGCACTGTTTCTATGAAGGAAATGTGCATTGGCTACAGTGTCTTTTTCCAAATAATGCTTTAATAAGCAGTTAGATTAGAAGCGGGGGAGGAGAAACTTTCCATCAGCCATCCACTGCTCAGTTACTATTTGAAAACCATTTAAAACCTTTATTTATTTAAAACTATTTTAAAACCTTTAAAACATCATTGAAAAATATTCCAACTTGTGAAAGAGTGATAGCTGGTGGGAATCTGTGGTGCCGCTGGGCTTTCCACATAGCCATTCCTCCTGACTTGCTGTCTCCCGCCGCTCCTCCCAGGCCTGTCGTGCCTCCCCGCCACCCCCCACATGCCCGGACTCTCCAGCCTCACTTGGCCACAAAGGCAGTGGTAAGACTTGCCCACATATCAGAAATCAGATTGTTCATCCTTGTGCACTTTTCTGGTTTTAAAATGGTTAAATCATCATGGATGAACCGTCCTCTTTGCTATCTTTGGCACTCTTCTGTGCCCATGCTTGTTTTATTAACTACTTGGCACAAATATCCAAAAATGTCCCCTGAGATTGGAGGTGTTGATGGCTTGTCATGCTCAGAAATTCCCTTGGGTTCTGGTCAGGGGTTAAAGGAGGGGGAAAAAAAGAAAAAACAACTTTGCCAACTTCGTCACTGCAAGTTAATTTTTAAACATAAAACCATAATTCAACCTAAGTAATTATGACATTTGCTACTATAGTGATATGTGCAGAATATCCTGGTGTTCTTTGGTCAGGTTCTCGTAATTAACATCTACTTACATTTTCTAAGAGAGAAGGAGCAGGACTGAAAGACCGAGTGGGAGGGACTGAGAAAGAGTTATTCCCATGGCTTGAAATTCCAGAACATGGGCTGCCTGGATGACTTGGTTAAGCGTCCGACTCTTGGTTGCGACTCAGGTCATGATCTCATGAGTCATGAGATTGAGCCCCACAGGGAGCCCCTCATCGGGCTCCGTGCTCAGCGGGGAGTCTGCCTAAAGATTCTCTCCCTCTGCCCCAGCCCCCGCTCGTGCACATGCTTGCTCGCATGCTCTCTCTCACTCAAAAATTAAGTCTTTAAAAAAAAAAAAAAGGAAAGAAAAAAGAAATTCCAGAATGGGGTGAAGGAGTTAACTGGGTAACAAATTGAGAAGGCCTGGTACAACCTTGAAACACACACAAACCCCCGTTGTTGTTGTTGAGGCCTTGTGTGTCTGTGCGCTCGTTGGGAGATGATGCACGGGAGGCGCGTGGAGATGCTCCTCTTGCTCCATGGCGCCTCCAGAGATGGTGGGGGGTCGGGGGGGGGGACACATGGCGGCCCTGCCCACTGCTGGCCCCGCCCCCCGCATAGCCACTGCTGGGACGGGACTGGGACCGCTCCAGACTTGTTGGAGGAAGGGGGCCCCATTGTCTGGGGTGGTAAAGAACCTGCATTTGTTCCCTAAGGACCCATGAGATGTCATTTCATTGTAAACACCCAGTTTCCCTTGAACCTGGTCTCTGAAAGTAGTTAGTTGAACATTCTCAGAGAGCCTCAGTCTGTGGAGCCCGTAGAAAATTGTTTCATGTGTGAGGCGAGCATGCAGGCAGCCTACACTTGCTGCACCGAATAATTATTTCCTGTCTAATATGTTAGCATGTTCCTCGTATTTATTACCAGCAGTTTACAGTTCCCTTAAGTAAAATGCAGAAAAGCACTGCATTTTAACCAAAAGCACAGGTCCCCGGTCCCCCTCCCTACTGTAACCCGTTATTCTATACGTGATCTTCACAGGCCCTTTTTGGCAGCCTCATAGAAAACATTGTGAGGGCTGTGTATTAAAGCAGTCCTTGATATTTGAAGACATTAAGATTGATTTATTGGTAACCTTTATAAAATGCAGCTACCATCATAGTAAAATTAGGGCCTATTTAAGCGTCTTTGTTTTTGTCTTTGACTTTTCTTCATATTACGCATATGAAACAGCAGTCTCTAAGAGCATAGTGGCAGGCAGCCACAGTAAGGGGGAGGTGCGTTTTTGCTAATGACCAAGACACGTCGGATGCGCAGTACCCACGTTTACGAGAAGACACATACTTTTCAAAAGTGTAGGTAAGTGAGGAAAGCCTGAGTAGTCAGACAAGGGACAGGTGATGTCTTTGCCAACTTGTAAGTCTTTGAAATTGGTTTAGGAAAGTTTGCAAGCATTTTCTTTTCTTTTTTTCTTTCTTTTTTTTTTTTTTTTTTAAGATTTTTATTTATTTGAGATAGAGAAGTGGTGGTGGTGGGGAAGGGGCAGAGGGAGAGGCAGAAGTAGGCTCCCCGCTCGATCCCAGGACTCAGAGATCATGACCTGAGCCCAAGGTAGAAGCTTAACCGACTGAGCCACCCAGGCGCCCCAGTTTGTGAACATTTTCAGATAGGATAATGGTGTATGCACTTCTGAGTTTTAACAGTCAGACACATTTTAATGTCTTATCACATACCAGTCATCATGTGGTCAATGAGCACTACTTTTAGAGCTAAAATGCATGTGACTTTGAGTCCCAGCTCCATACTGTGTGACACTGAGCAAGTTGTCTATAAACGGAACCGTAATCCCCACGCGCACAAGCTATGATACGTACTGACGGTACCCAGCACAGTCCCACCGCACCAGGTACGGAGTGGGCCCAAATGTTCACTCCAGGCTTCCCCTTCCTCTGCTCTTCTAGAGGACGAGTTGAAACCTCGGGTCTGTAAAACTACAGACACCTGTCCCAGGCACCTGGCAAGCCTTTTTGAGTGCCTGCTGTGTGCACTGGGCTAGAGCCATGAAGGAAAATCACACATTATCTGTGCGCTTGCAGGGAAGAGCCAGGCACTACCCTAGACACTTGGCACAAGACCCATTTAGTGCTGGTGTCATACTCTTACCTGCTTTGTACAGCTGGCTCCTAGCACCCTCCGTGGCCAGGAGCTCACGTTCTGGAGTCGGGAAAGCTCACGTCTCAGCTCTGCACTAAAACCTTCTGTGAGTTCTGTAACCTCACTGAGCCTCAGTTTCCCCACTGGTAGCATGTGGTAGCAGTTACAGAAGTACTTGTCTCCTAGGGTACTTTATCTAGAGAGTAAGTACGGTATTTAAGTACAGGATTTAAGGCTTGGTCTTTCGGACTCTTTCAGAGTTCTTCCAGGCTGGGCCTGGCGAACCGTTGCAGCCAGTGAGGGACACAAAGCCGAATACTATCAGATTTGGGGTGGGGAGTTTGGGATAGTACAGGTTCATTGCCTGAAGTTGAGTAAGTACCTGAATTTCAGACAGCTTTTCAATCTGGAGGAAAATGTTTCACATGTTCGTAGCACAAAAGTGGCTAAAACGAAAGGGGACTCTAATATTCATGTAATTGATCATCTGTAGCCCTGAGGGGTGTGTCCTTTGTGAGTAACCCAAAAATGGGACATAAAAGCATAAATGGGTACATCTTTCAAAAAGTCAGTGTCCTAATACATGCTACCAAGTTCGGTGTGAAGATTTCAGCAACATGTTTAGAAAGATAGTTGGCGGAGATCAGATGACCTTCACATACCATGAACTTCAGAGGGAGATGTGCTATTTCTGGAGCATCCTTCGTACATGTGTTGTGTTCAGCCCCTATGAAACTGTGCAGCCTAGCTCATGGAAGCTGAGTCTTGGGTAAGCCCTTCTGGGTTTATTATTTCTATCTCCTTAGGGCCTCTTGGGGTTTAAAAAACTTCTTTGTATCACACTAAATAAAATATTGACACCACTGCAGTTTCTGTAAAAAAAAAAAAAAAAAAAAATCCTCCAATTCCCCTGTCTGTAGGTATGGATATTAAAATGTGTGGATTTTTTAGATTTTTTTTTTTTTTTTTAATTTGACAGCACAAGTAGGCAGAGGGAGAGGGAGAAGCAGGCTCTCTGCTGAGCAGGGAGACCCGATGTGGGGCTTGATCCCAGAACCCTGGGATCATGACCTGAGCCGAAGGCAGACGCTTAACTGACTGAGCCACCCAGGTTCCCCAATGTGTGGATTTTTTAAATATCAGTTTGGCAGTCATGGTATTCCGTGGAAGAGAAGGTGGGAAGGAAGCTGTGGGAAGATTGCCTGTTGAATCAGGATGCAGAGGGCGGCCTAGAAATGTAGTTATTTGGCCTGGCCTGTTACTTGAAGCCTGCAAATACAGAAAGCTTTATCCTTTTAACTCAAAGAATGTAGCCATTAATACCGAAAGTCCCTACAGCACTGTGCGTATTTCTGTTGGCCCATTTTGTCTCAGACCAGAAAAAGTAGAAGCATTTTGGAGTCAGAGTAAAGCACAGTGGTCCATGGAAGGCATGGGCCTCTGAGAAGCACCAGGAGCAGCGAGCCTCTCATACTGACAGTGGGTGTCTGAACATAGACCACAACCACGTACACACACAGGGTTGTTCTCCACAAAAGAGCAAGATGAATTATGGGACCTTGTTTCCTGCCCCCCCCTCCCTTGAGTGTATAAAGCATCATCTTGTCATCTCTCTTATGTGCGCCTCACCATCACTACAAAAGCCACGGAGCATGCGGATTTTGCACGTGTGGCTCCTCTTGAATCAGCCCAGGGGACGTAATGATAAGGGGAGTGATCTCGGTAGAGTTAGGAGGAATGAGAAAATGAAAGTTGTAGCAGACTGTGTACTACAGTAGCAGGACCTCCTTTATGTGTTGGGGACTTTTATATGCGCAGGTGGATTTGCAGCTGCAGTCACCACACCTCTGGATGTGGCGAAAACAAGAATCATGTTGGCAAAGGTAAGCGTCCAACAACGTCATGTAGACACAGCAGACGCTTGTACGTGGTAGCCCTGGGGCTCGTCTGTATATCAAGGGAATCAAAGCGGCGTGACCCTGACTGTCGTGGCGGCCTGAGCGGCCTGCTGCACAGTGCCTCGCACGGCTGCGGCTGAGTCTGCGGACACTGCCGCCATCATGGTGAGCAGGGCGTGCAGCACCTTACCTTCCCGAAGGCATCCTCGCCGGCGTCGTGTAAGCACGCGGGGCCGCTGGGGGGCCTCGGCCGTAATGCCACCTTCCGGGTAGCTCTGTTTTCATGGGCGGCAGACAGGAGGCTGAGAGTTGACTGGGTTGCTTCCTGCTGTGCGGAAGGTAAGCTAGAGGCTCTGAATTCAGACCGAGTTTGGCCTTGATGAATCAGGACAGTTGTCAAAATTAAGGACATTTTTCATTAAAAAGAAAAATTGTTACAAAAAAAGCTAGACCAACATTTCATGGCATGCCCTGCACATAACGTATCTGGGGCACAACCGTGGAAAAGAAAAGGTCCTACCCTTAGGGAAAAGTGGAACAGTGAGCGTGGGATTCTGTTACGTAGGTGGACAAGGCCAAACCCGAGAAAATTGGTCCTGTTTTAAATGGAACATCGTACTCTTTATTAAATGTGTTTATTAGCTACTCAGGTAAGTTCACAATTGGACCATATAGACTGATTATTCCCCATTCTTCTCCGAGCAATTACTATTGCTTTTGGTCTTTCTCCCATTAAACAGCAGTTGGCGAATTACCTAGGTGAGCTCTGCATCCAGTTTGATGATGCGAGAACCAAGGAAAGCAGCTTCCTGTCAGGGCTTACCTGTGGGTGGGAATGGAAGGGCTTCAGGTCCTGTGTGATCCAGGGGTCCTGATGCCCGAGAAGCTCCCCACCCTGTTTCAGACTATCCTAGAAGAGGGTGGTTGGGAGCCGTGCATCTGAGGATCAGTTGGGGAATTTCATAAGATAATGGCTTTGTCTGTTGTCCTATTGCACAGGCTGGTTCCAGCACCGCTAGTGGGAATGTGCTGTCCGCGCTGCACGGGGTCTGGCGGACACAGGGGCTGTCAGGGTAAGCATAACAAGGAAGGTGAAACTGCCTTTCCGCCTCTTCACGGGCTCTTCTTCCTTTAGCCTGAATAGGATGAACCCCTTTCCTTCTTTCTGATCGTCCTGGTTGGGTCTCTCTATTTACATTTGCACAAAACATACTTGACGTTGCCTGTGTGAGATGCTAGTGCACATCAAGTTGATGCAGTGTCTCGCCACGTGATCACCAGTCTTGTCTGTCTGGATGTTGGAGGACATCCGTGTGCCTGCTCCCCCCTCCCCCGCCCCTGGTTCCAGGTTGCAGCTCTGAGCAAACAGGATTGCAGTTATGGAATGCAGGAATGCAGGCGAGCGAGGGTGGCATTTAGAAGAAAGCACTGGTCACTGGGGAGACACTGTGCTCAGTAACAGTTACTTCCACCGCACCTCGCTTGAAACCCGCTTCGTGCTGTGCTCAGTGTCCAGACTTCGAGCACTGTGTCCTAAAACGCTTCCTTTGCCGAATGTGCTTTCATGTTGCTTTTACCATCTGTGCCGTCGCCGTGTTGGGGTCTGTACGGGGACGTGACACGACAGTGTGCTCTTTGGAATGACCTACCGGGGATTCTCCTGAGAGCAGAGCCGTGGCCGCCTCCTGGAGGGCCAGGCGGCAGCGTCGTGGCGGGGTGTGGCTGCTGGGGACAGCGTCCGGCCAGCGCCACCTCCTCTTCCCAGTGCTGTGGGGATGATTCGATCGTAGGGTCGTGTGCATTTGACAGGTCTTTCTTTCGGCCAGTTGGTAGTTGGGGAACATGAGGCGTATTGGTTAGGACGCAGGTGAGGTTTTTGCAGGAGAATGGCCCCATCCTCTCTTCAGAATATCCAGCCGGTAGTTTGAAAAGTAGGTCGTGTTGGGTGGTTTTGTTGAATGGGCCAGCTCTGATGGACTGATGGCGGTTGATGATAGCCTTAAGGATTTGAGACAAGAAGCGGGTGTAACAGGAAGGGGTGCTTAGGCATGAGCAGGGGAGCGGCAGAGTGGGGGCGCATGTGCTGCCGTTGGCTACTTACGGCCAACACAGTATTAGTACGAATCGGGTTGCTCGTACCTTGGACGCACTGATTTTGACACGAATTTCACATTGATCAGTGAAATGGTGTGAGAGAAGAAAGAGGCCCTAAAGCCACTTCTAAGTAGCAGGTAGAAGATTCTCGGTGTTTCAGGTAGTTTGGGGCCACACAGAGATGTTGCGTGCAGCTTTTTTAGACCATAAAGTCAAAATGCTGAATTTCACGGCCCTCTTTGTTTCACTCTGGCTCATAAATTAGGTTTTATGGCAACTCCCAGTCAGACCTCCGCTCCTGACTTAGCTCTGTGGGGTCGGTATGGGGCTGCAGTGCATCGGCCTGAGACGGTGGCCTGATGTGGATACGGCAGGATGGGCAGAACCCTGGCCCCCGGGAGCTTGTGGAGAAGGAATTCCCGTGAGGAGATGATGGAACCCAGACCCTCCCTATCCCAGCTGTGCCGTGTGCTCGGGGTTACGTAACTGGGCAGCGCCAGAATTAGAGGATGGGCTCCGTAAACATGCCCAGGGCCCCTCTGTCCCCACACCAGCCCTGAAAAGGTCATTGGGAATTCTGCTTATCGTCTCGAGTCTGGGGCTCTCATGCGTATACACAGTGGGTCCTTAGCAGGGTATTCCAAGCAGCCATGCTGGTCATTTAAGAAATGCTAGTTTTTACTAGCTTCCTACTAATAGGATAAAAGGCACCAAATAATTTGACAACAGAATTGTAACTCAAGGCAAACAAAACAAAGCAAAAATCCGCGCTGATGTGGGCCACCATTGTAAAACCGTTTCTGGGTGTCCCAGCCTGCCTCCTCTGTCTGGTTCCCCACACAGCCCCCGCTGGCCTTCTGCCACCTCGAAGCAGCCTTGCATGTTTCTGAGTGTTCCCGTGGCCTCGCAGGTGCAGCTTCCCCACCCTGCAGGGAAGGGCGCTGGCCTCTCGGGGACAAGTGGGGACGCTGTGGTCTCCATGTTGGTTCTCACAGCGGAAGACCATGTTCTGGCACCTACTTGGAATATATGTTCTCAGGCCAACTGGTTTCTCCCAAATAAAAATACCACCCAGTCAGTCAGTCCAACAGTCAGAAAGCAGATGGGGAAGCCTGTTTGTCCTGCATTGTGCCTTCCTCCTTGTCCTGTTCCTTAACTGGCTTTTTGTGTTTCTTGACTGTGTGCCCTTCATGGAATGATCGCGGCCACCCCGCGCGTACCCCTGCCGTGCCCTGTGCACTACATTCGTTTGTTCCCTCACGTGACCCATGGTCCCGAGAACACAGCCCCACTCTGCTCGAGTCTCTGCCTCCTCGTTCGTTGGGGCGCCCGCTATACAAATGAGTCTGCTTTAAGGCTGTAATTATGTTAATAGGTTCAACTGCCATCTAGTGAAACCAGAAACCCCTTCCATCTGTCTCTTGCCAGGAGCAGCTGAGTTCATTAGCAGCAAAAGCTGAACCAAGACACGGGTTTCAGAAATAAGTCAGCTCGTGAGGGAGGGAGGCTTTTGTGGCAGAGGTGGTCTTCTGCTGACCTCCCTCCCAGCACCCTTCCCTGTGCAGGGAGGGCCAAGAGGAGGCATCTGTGTTTCAGGCCAGAAGGTCCCAGGGGCCTTGGTGAGTTTCTGTCCTCACCAACCACCTCATGCAAAAACTGCATGATGCTGAGCTGAACAACTTTTTCCTCGTATAGTTTTCATGGTTACTTCTAGACAAGAACAAGAGGTTCTCATCTTATCTGTAGTATTTTACTTAATGATTTAAATCCTTACTTCCCTAACTGAAGGGCCACCTAAGGCTAAGTCCGTTTTCCTCACACGTGCTGAGTGTGATACTCAGAGGGGAGGCCAGGTGACCTGTCCTGGCAGGCATGAAGAAACGGGGGTGGGGGGTGGGGGTGGTCTCATCTGTCCACTTCCTTGGCTCATCCCTATTTAGTTTATGGTGGATGTTTTTCCTCTTAGAGGTTATGTCTTTTTCACGTAATATGACCATTTTCACTTTTTTTCCCTAGACCTGATCCAAAGCGTCCTCACTACTAGGCCCGCTAGTTCTGATTTTTACTGCTTTACAACAGTAATACTCTTGGTAAAAAGGCTCACTTATTCTAGAAAGATAGGTAGGGACTGTTGTCGTTGTGCCCTCCAGAGAAAGTTGAGGCCTTGGAATACATGCTCACATCCTTGCTGTGATCACACGTACAGCTTTGGGACTTTTGTCAGAACCCACTGTGCAGAATAGGTCTCGGTTCCTGTGGGCTGCCCCAGAGGGGGGCTCTCCGCAGTCGCTCTGGTACCTGCAGTGCCGTGAGGAACGTCTCTGAACACATACCTGTGCGCAGCCACAGGATGGTTTTTAAAGAGTGAACCTCCCAGTTTGCATCCCCAGTAACACAATTGTTCTTTTACTTTGCCTTTGTTTCTTCCAAAGTTGCTCCTCTGACTGGCCTTGTGTGGTGTGTGGGGACTGAACCTTGGAGGAGGTGCTGTCCCCAGACCGTTGGTCTTTCTGGTCCTTCCTCAGAGGAGAAGACAAATAGGCAATGCATGGAGATTCGCTTTCCTGTTCTGGCATCACATTTGTGGGCCTCTAAGGACGAAATGCAGCCGAGAACTCTCCCCCACTCGGAGCCCACCTTCCTTCCCAGGGTGGGCCACGGCGCGACCCAGGATTCAGGCTTTGGACTCCTTTACCAGAGTCCTCATCTCCCAAAGACAAAACCGGCCTGGAAGTTTTCAACAGAATTGTTGAGGGGACAGAGTTAGTCTTTCTTGACTAATTACTGGACTTAATTGTGAGGCTCACAAGTAAGCTGTTTGGTATTTCGCCACGTTAGCCGACAAACAGCTGGGCCCAAACTTCAACAAGTCTACTTGGGAATGTAATTTAGTGCCATTCTGGGAGGAAAACACACACGCTGTAAGTGCTGTGTGGGGTTTAATGAGCATGGTGTGCTGAGTTGAGCAAGCTGTGGGTGTTGGAATTCAACCTTTTTTACACACACCAATTTAAAAGAAATCTTTCCTCCTGCTTTTTTCCCTCCCTAGATTATTTGCAGGTGTCTTCCCTCGAATGGCAGCCATCAGTCTGGGAGGTTTCATCTTTCTTGGTGCTTATGAGCAAACCCGCAGCTTGCTCTTGGAACTTGGCAGAGAGCGCCCCTGAATCGGGGACGGTGCCCCAGGCATGGCTCTCAAGAAAGGGGGCGCCGGGGGAGCAGCCGCACGGTCCCCCACACCGGCCTCGTGTGTGAAGATGGGGACCTTGAGAACAGTGTCTTCCCTGCTGTCGGATGGCTGGCATGCTCACGTGGAACTCTGGCCACAGCGGTACTCCCAACCCTTTCTCAGGCCCCTGAATAAAGCCGTGAGGTGATGCTGAGTCCAGGCTGCTTAGAGCCTTCATTTGATCTGCACCGGATCTCGCATTTCCCGACCGCGGAAGGCAGAGACGCTTCTAATTCCGATGGGGAGGCTGGACCGGGAGCAGGAAGGAAGGAGACTCCGAGGGAAGGTGGGCCCGCGGCTGGGTGTCTCCCTGTGGTGGTGCTTAGGGCCATCTTCTGGGCAGCCAGGCTGCTACTCTTAATTTCCCTCAGATTTCCCCTAAAAACACGATTGTAGTATTTTGGAGAGAAGCATCCAGCAGCCCACGTGGTGTGTGCGAGAAAGCAAGCAGCTGCAGCCCAGGGCCTAGGTGGGCCTGGCTGGCTCCGGGGCAGGAGGGCATGGCGGGCCCACTGGGGGCCTGAGCCCCACTCCACGCTTCTCCACGTGGGACCCAAAGGAGGGGCCTGGGCCAGCCGGGAGACCAAGCACGGTGTCTTCGTGCCTAGTCGGGAAGGTATGCTGCGCAGTCTTGGAAATGAGCCGGGATAAAATGGGGAGGTCACCATTTCAGAGCTTGACTAATAAGCTCCAGGTGTTTGTTAGAAGAATTCAGAGAGAAATCTTAGGAATCTAGGGGTGGTGTATCTTCCCCGGAGCAAAGAAGTGTATGATTCTGCTTTGCCGAGAAGAAATTTTCCTCTTTTTGGGAAAACATAGATCATTAAAGGCAGAATAACTGCATTTGTAAGGGAGTTTCTGGAAGGGAAGGGGGTGAAACGGTGGGTAGAAGAATGCCCCCAGGCACACCATCAACATTTATAAATGAACCTTTATTAAAGACACTTCAACGCTGTTAGACACTTCAATATTTTACATGTTTTTCAATGTACATTGTACCAAAATTTCTATAAATAAATAACTTTGTACATAAAAGTAATACTTCCTCTTTCACATTGCCTCTCAGAAGCAGCAAATTCACATATTTTGTGGAAGTAACATTAATCAGTTGACTGTTGAGAACACAATTCTAAATGTGCTTACCTTTTAGAACAGTGATGACCCCGGACAGTAAAATTATCTTAACAACTATTTTGTCAGTCTCTACCTTCAGCTTTTTGGCTAAAGGAACTTACTTACTTACTTGCTTTCTGAGATTTTTTAAAGGACCTTGTTTCAATGTAATTTTTCCTGAAATACACATTGGCACTCACAAGATGGTTAGCTACAGGTCTCGAAAGTGCAAATATACCCAGGTCGGGGGCTTCGACTCGTTACGGTCCCAGCCCGGGTCTGTGTGTGAGGGAAGGACGTGGACAGACGTGCTCCGGATCCTCAGTAGAGAGAAGCTAGCCCTGAAAAGTAAGGACTCGACCCTTTCTCTCCCCCCTGATCAACGTCACGTGAATTATATTGGCAGAACTAAAACATCACTATTGAAAAATCCACAGGTACCAACACCAGCAGCCTCTACCTTAGTAAAATAAGCCTCAAAGGACAATCGAGTGATACTGATGACCACCACGTTTGCTTTTCTCAGAGAAGGAAGGAAGGCAGTGCTTCACTGTTTGGAACAAAGGCTTGCAGTGGATCAACAAGCCCCCTTCTGCTCGGCAAGGAACTTAAACTTACAAGAGCAAGTCCTGTAGGGCAGAGGTACGGGGCGACTCGGGCATCTCAGGACGCTGCGGGGAGGCGAGCTGCTGGAGCGTTACTGACGGGAAGTGGATTCCAATGCGGATTCCAATGCACATGAAGGCCCGGAGTGGCCCGCATCCCAGGGTGTTGTCCTGGGAAGTGCAAGGCAAACCCCAGGCCTGCCCCCCCTCCCTGCCCTCCAGAAACTCTTGGGAGCAAATGTGGTTTTTAGCCTCTACAAATTCCATCCATGCATTAAGGCACCAGAACTCTTCCCCACCCCGCTTCCAAAATTAAACAGCAACCTGATATGAAAAATAATATTGTCAAAACTGTACTTTTTTTCTGTTAACCATGCACTACAGATTAAAATAGCCTCTGCAAAAGATATATAATATATAGGAAATCTCTGAAAACTCTTATGTACAAGGGTATCAAATACTTTTCTGCTTTTGTACACAATAGCCTCTTGCAGTTCTGCGCTTCAGCTGCAAGTCTTTAAACCACGGACACTCCACATGGGAGTTTAAAAACTCTGTACACGTCAGTGACGCTTGAACTCAAGCTTCTTACAGCCTCTCCTACCTCTCTTTCCTGTAGAGACGGGCACAAGAGCTGAGGTAGACGAAGCCTAGATTTTCGGTGCGAAGAGCAGGGGCACGCCCCGCTTCCCGGGGGCCTGTCCTGTCAGCGCTGGGGACTCGGGGCTGGAGTCACACGCCTGGGGGAGGTGTCCGTTGGAAAGAAGCAAGTGCTGGCCTTCACTGGGGCCCTCGGGAAAGCCCGTGGCGGCTTCGGTGAGCTCAGGACTGCTTGGAGTTAATGTCGAGGGAGGCTGGAGGTCTCTGGAGTCTGGCTCACACAGCCTTGCTAAAGTCCACGAAGAGGCCCCTGTGCGAAGGGAGAGGGCGCGTCAGAGCCCGCAGGCTGGCTGCTTACCTGGCCCCCCTCCCCCTGCCGGTGCCGCCCTGGGAGACCGTGAACGTCTGCCTACCTGTCCCATCTGCAGGTGCCAGTGGCTTTTTCTTCAAGGATGTCCGCATTCTGTCGTGGTTACTGGGGTAGAGGGACCCCCTGCAGTCGGTGCGGGACCCGTCAGCAATCCCAGGGGTCAGATGAGGCAGAGAGTGTTCTCGGGCCGTCTGACTGGGCTCCTGGCTGCTTAGTGTCCCTGGCTGTGTACTGTCTCTGGGCACAGGCGGAGGATAGACAGCTTGTTCCTTGCAGTAACCGTCCGTGTCCGTGTTGCAGTCCCCACACGCCCCCGGGCCACCATGCTCTGCGAGAGCGAGCCGAGACGGATTAGAGCCACGGCCACCGAGGTCTGCTTCCCCGCCCAGAACAGGGAGCTGCAGTCCCCGGCTAAGAGGCCTGAGCCCTGCTTAGACCAACTCTTTCAAACTTCCCCTCTCCCCAGGTGTGGTCCCAGAAGGAGGACTGGGCAGATACCAAGCCATTAAGGAAGAATGGGCACTCCATGTTTCAATGGTTCAGATGAACTGCTTCATGAGAGAAGATGATCCTACTGTTTTGATCACAGAAAAAGAAAATCCCATTGCATGACATACCATGTTGTCAGGAATCTTCCGAATAATTAGAAATATAGCCTCAAAAATAGGCCTGGTGAAAAGGTACTTTAAGTAAAGCGCAAGGCCCAACCTGAAGTGCTTATAAATCTGGAAAGTTCAAGCCCAGGCTCACCACACCACAGATTTATGTGAGACTTGCTACTTCAGAATTACGAGAGCCAGGCCACAGTGTCCTGTTTCTACACCGAATACCAAATTCTGAGATCCTCATAGACCCATAATGCATCTCTCACTTTTATTTAATGAACAGGTCTGTTTGAATTTTGATTTCAAGAATGGAAGACTTTGGAAGAGCATCTCTTACCCATCTTCTGCGGCCCAGACCTCCGCCGGGCTTTCTCCATCACGTTCCAGGGCTCCCTGTTACAGCCGACGCAGAGCTTGGGCTGCCTGCACGTAGAGCCATGAGCGTCCACTTCTGAGAAGAGGCTGGTGTCCGGTGGACAAACACCTGCAGTAAAATGATGGGCTTAGCTTGTTAGGGTGAGCTTGATGAGAACAAGTGGCGCTTACTAGAACAGTCCCTTTTACACTGTTCTTTACAGCAGTAGGTGCCTGCTGACCAGCAAGAAGCATTTGTAACAAGCTGCCCCACAGGCAGGCCTTTCAGTGTCCGGGGCCAAGCCGGTGAGCGGTCCGTGTGAGGACGGACTTGCCCCCTGTAAGCACTCGGTCTCCCCTAGAGGTAGCTCACCCTGGGAGAGCTTTCTAGTAGCAGAAATTGGACCACAGAGCAGACCTGGGCCCATGCCCTACTCAACAAATGGATTGGTTTCAGGGTCTGTAATGGCCTCTGCAGCTTCTTCAATCCTACCTTATCCTGACCAGGAGATGCTGAGCCCAATATAGCAACTTCCTGGGGGTTGGATTTTTAAAACCTTGCAGAACATGCATAGGATAGGGCCCCTCCCCCAAAAAACAAAAAAAAAACAAAAAACCCCAACAGAAGGCTTGAGTCCGCCAGCCTTCAAGGTCAGATGCGCTCAGCATTAAGGCCGTGCACCTGCCCTGGGGAGGGGCAGAGGCTCGTGAGGACAGGGTCACAGCAGGCTTTGAGGCCTTACCGTTGATCTCGATGTGTCCATTGGCCTGAGGGCCACCCTCTGTCCTGATCACAGTTTCCTGCCGGTCAGAAAGAGTCCCCTGAGATGAGAGGTAGCTTGGAACATCCGGTGGCACAATGGTTTCATCTGCAAGGAGACAGGACAGTCAGATACCAGGTGTCCCCCATTCTTCGTGGGGATTAGCCGTGAAAACACGGGCTCCCTATCCGGCCCGGACATGAGGCTTTGCCGAAAGCAGCCGCCCAGGCTGTGCAGAGATGGTCTGGAGGGCCCGGCTTAGCCGCACTTTCCACTTGGGTGTAAAAAATACAGCAGCTGGAGCTCTGAGCCCATGAGAGAGCGAGTGGGGATGGCGAGGGAGCCAGAACCAGCAGAAGCACAATACAGGCGGTCACTGCAGCAATGAGCGGCCGGCGCAGCCCCGCGCCCTGCCTCCTCCCCACACAGCACCGTGCTTCCCTCCTGCCCTGGGGGCCTGAGCTCAGCCAGCAGAGGCTGACCTGTGTTGGTGACACTGTACTCCTCGCTCTTCTTCCGGGTCTGGTAGATGATGCACACCCAGACCAGGGACGTCAGGACAATGCTGCACACCACGGCGATGGTGAAGATGCCCACGGTGCTGCCGTCCTTCCTGCAGCCGGGGGCAGGCCGGATGCTCAACTGGCTGTGCGCGCGCTCCGTGCCCAGGGTGTTGGAGATCTCGCACGTGTACTGGCCCGCGTCCTCCACCACCACGTTCTGGACGATGAGCAACTGGTTGCCAGGCGTGAAGTGGTGCCGCTCGGTGAGGCTCAGAGGGCGGCCCCCCTTTAACCAGGTGATGCGGGGCGTTGGGTTCCCGGTCGCTTTGCACTGGAGTGCCACCGTTTCTCCCATGGACACCACACGGTCTTCTAGGGGCACCACCAAGGATGGGGTTTCTGCAAGAAGCCAGAGGAGACCGGACGGTTATTCTGGGGGCCTGCCCTGCCTTCCAGACAGATCCTGTAGCAGAGTGGCGAGCTTTCCAGAAGACCTCACACGATGACTAAATCACGACCCTTCTGGGGGTGGCTGCGACCGGAAGAACTACTGAGCCAAAGAGAAGCCCCCTCTCTCCCCCACCTGTCCTGTGCCGGGCTTGTGTGTCTCTTCTTCAGCAGAACACAGCCCTCCAGCCCGAGGGCAGTCTGAGAATGTTCCATAGCAAAGCCCTATGAAAACCACTCCCTTAATTAACTTCAAAACAAAACAAAACCACTTGTCGAGCTGCTTTCTAACATTTTCTGGAAAGTTTTAAACAGAGAAGCAGCCTGGCACGCTCAGTCACAGCCCGCCGCCCGGAGGGGTGGCGCCCCTGCCCCCTCGGCACACGCGCGGACTATACTCAGTGTGCGAGCGCTCGGACCAAAGACCGTCAGGGTGGCGTTCGCGGAAACGGTGCCGGCCGAGTTCTGGGCAGTGCAGCTGTACACCCCCATGTCCTCGATCTTGACGTTCGTGATGAAAAACACGTCGTCGTCGGGCATGACGTGCATGCGTCGCTCACGAGCGGCGGGGAAGTCCGTGCCTCCGTCCTTCTGCCAAGCGATCTGGGGGTTAGGATGGCCACTGGCAGCACACTCGAGGCGGGCCGTGGTGCCGGTCCGGATGGCAATGTCGTGGGGGATTTTGGTGAAGGACGGCAACACTGCAAATACAAACAGTGTCAGGCTCACAGGAAGGAAGAGCTGGATGTAAAGGCCGGGACAGTCCTCTGGTGAAGAGCCCCCCGCTTGGCGGGTGGCTGTCCCCTCCCCACCCTCTTTGCCAGCATCTGAGAGAGCAGTCGGCTCCCCCAAACTGCCAGCCTCCCACTCCCGTGGCTCGCTCTCCTCACCCCGAGGCTGGCTAGCGCCCCCTCGCGTGCAAACCGTTTATGAGGCGGTTCCCCTAAGGGCACAGCCCATAAATACTGGGGTCTGACACTTGCCTACCTCCATTAACCACTAGAACAGCCCGGAGACAAAGGGATCTGCTCGGACAGGACGTAATGATGGGAAAGGAGGACATGCCCTCGCCCTGGGCAGAGTTCCCTGTTGCGGAACCCCGTGGTGGAGAGGCGGTTCGGGGCCCCCTCACTGGGCACTGGCCAGCTGTAGGCAGCCGGCTAGCTTTTTTCTGCCCCTACTCCCTGGCCCAGCGGCAAGCACACGCCAAGGCACCACTGCAATTCCCGTCGGGGTTACTTCAGTGGCAAGTCTAACAGCTCACGGAGCTTTTAATACAAAGGCCTCCTTCAGAATGAGCCAACAGGCAAAGTGGGGTAAAAGAATGTGTTTTCCTGTGGTTTTTCAGGGCTCTGAGACAAGGTGGTTCCAGCACTTATTACCTGGAGGCTTAATAACCAGGTTAGGGTGCTGGGGTGCTTAACTCCTCTGGCTGTTGGCTTCCCTTATTCTGCCCTAAATTCACTGTGACAACTAGCAGCCCTGAGAATAGCCACCTTGAGAGGCTCTAAAGCTCGGAGGGCAGGAGCTTCCCCACAATCAGGGTATGCCCGGAATCTGGACACCGGACAGCGTGGATAAAAAGCACAAGGCTTGGGCCCATCATTTCATTTAACATTTAAAAAAAAAAGAAGTCACCAGAAACAGGAAAATCACCGAGAATAACCCTTCAATCTACAGAACTTGCTCTGGGGCCCCCGGGCAACTGGGGACACAGTAACGTCCCAAAGAGGCTCGGTGTCTCTGGTCTGCAGCCTTCCTGCACGGGCACAGAGAACCACGTGTGGCTTTGGGGATCGCACACCAGAGTAAACCGCACTGCCTCACCATTCACAACGAGCCTGGCCTTGTGCGAGTAGGTGGAGCCGAAGTGGTTGGTGATGACGCACTGATAGCGGCCCTCGTGTCCGAACGTGACGTGGCGCAGGTGCAGGATGGTGGTGTACTCCATCACCTTCCCGTCCTGGGCGCGGACGTGGGCAAAGTTCTCCATGTCGGCGTTGGCCAGGGCCTCGCTGTCCTTCTTCCAGGCAAACGTCATGGGGGAGCTGCTGCTGCTGGCAGCGGAGCACGTGAACCGGATGTCCTTGCCCACGATGGCCACGGTGGGCTCTGGCTGGGTGATAATCTGTGGCTTTGGTAGGTCATCTGTGGAGAGGGGAGCCAAGCTGAAGAGTCTTCCACCCGCGCTCTCCGGCCACACGGGGGCTGCACCTTTCAGGGCCTCTGCTCGCCCTCAGCCCCACCAGACCCTATAAGCGCCTCCCACCGTGGATATCTGGCCTTACCCGACTGGAGACCCCGGAGCGGTGATCACCTCCGGGACCACACTCCTTGACGACAAGCCCATCCACCAGTACTCGTGTGTCAAGGCATACATCTCAGGAGTCTCCACGAGACCACCACGGTGCACTTCACTTGCTCACCTCAACACAAAGCGCACTAACACAGAGTCCGGAACCGTCCGTCGTGACTGCACAGACCTTACCCACCAACTTCACTCCAAGAGGAGGGGAGTGAGGAGCACTTCCAGAATGCGAGACAGATGCCTCCAAAAATCTGCACCTCCGTTAAAGCCACAGTAACACTAGCGAAAATGGCTCTCATCAACCTTTTCAGAATTCTGGAAAGCTGTACCAAGCAAAGGCTGTAACAACGCATGGAGGGTTGACTCAAGAAAACACCTGAATCTCAGGAAGGAAAATGAGCTTTGTGGCATTTAACTTGGCTTAAGTCCCATCCCTCTCTGCCTCACTTTGCGGTAGCCTGAAAACCCAGCAGCCGAGTGACCACTGGCGGGGGGGGGGGGGCGCGGAATGGCTGTGGAGCCCCCACAAAAGCCCCATCCTCTGGCATTATTTGAGCTGATGCAGTTGGCTCGGCCAGGGAGCCCTGGCCCTAGGACATGGGACAAAAACAAGCGGCAGCCAGCGGTGAGGCAGTATCCGCTGGAGCCAACAGGAGGCTGGCCCAGAAACCAGAAAGGAAGAGAAAGCGGTGAATGAAAAGGTCCAACATGTTCCTGAGGATCTAGAAGGCCACGTGCACGTGCAGGGCTCTATGCATGCCCGAGAAAGCCCTGAGAGGAACCTCATTTCTCACCTGTGATTACGGATCGGTGCCAACAGGAAGTGGCCGCATACCCTCAGACAACAGAGATGCTGGGCAGAGGATGGGAGACGTTCTGAGGTGACTGAAGGGTTCTCTGTCCAGTCATTAGCTAACCAGGGAGGCACTTCAACCGCTGCGTAGAACAGACTACAGTATTTGTCCAGGAAAGTCACTCAACAAATTGTAATAATACATAGAACAACAACAAACCAGGAACAAGACGGAGGGAGAATCTGATCTCTGGACTTGCCACATTATTGTAAAGGCTCAGTTTCCAATAAAAAACTACAAAACATGCAAAGAAACAGGAAAAAAAATCAGTCAATGGAAACTGTTTTTGAGGAAGCCCAGCTTTTGACTTAAAACTTTAAATTGGCTTTATAAAATATATTCAAAGAACTAAAGAAAATCATGTCAAAGAAAATTAAAAGAAAAGTATCTGAATACTTTCCACCAAACAAAGAATGCCAATAAAGAACTAGTAATTGTAGAAGTAAACCAAACGTAAATGTGGGAGTTTAAAAGTATAATAACGGAAATAAAGAATTCACTAGAGGGGCTCAAGAGCCCCACTGAGCAGACAGAAGAGCTGGTGAAATTGAGACTATCCAATCCAAGACACAAAAAGCCAGGAAGGCTAAGGAACAGTCCCAGAGACCTGTGGGACAGCCTCAAGCGTAACAACATACAAATAATGGGAGTCCAAGAAGGAGAAGAAAGAAAAAGAAACAGTATTTGTAGAAATAATAGCCCCAAAGCTCCCAAATTTGATGAAAAATAGGCACCTACCCATCCATGAAGTTCAATGAATCCAAAAAGGATAAACTCAAAAATCCCCACCCAGAAACTTAATAGTCAAACTGTCAGAAGCCAAAGACAAAGAATCTTGAAAGGAACAGGAGAGCTGCAACCCATCACATAGAAGGGATCCTCAGTGGCATGAACAGCTGATTTCTCATCGGAAACCATGGAGGTGAATAGGCAGACACATTCAAAGCACTGAAAGAGTGTCAGCTATGAATTCTGTATCCAGCAAAACCGTCCTTCAAAGGTGAAGGAGAAATTAAATCACTCTCAGATATAAAAACAGAAAACCTGACAGAATTCACTGCTACCAGGCCCGCCCTACAAGAAATACTAAAGGGAATCCTTCAGGCTGAAATGAAAGGACACAATAGTAACTCAAATCCACACAAAGAAATAAAAAACACCGTTAAAATAACTACATATGTAAGTATGCAAGTACATATTTTTGTTTATAACACTCTTCTGTCTGATTTAAAAGGCAACTACATAGAGCAGTAATCACAAAACTGTTGATAAGCTTATGATAAATAAAAATGTAATTTATTGGACAACTGTACCATAAAGGAGGAGCTCCACAAATGGAGCTTAGTAGGAGCAAAATTTTGCATACTACTGAAGTTAATTCCATTATTAATCTGAACTAGATTGTTTTAAGATGTTAATTATAATCCCCACATCAATCATTAAGAAAATAACAAAAAATAGTAAAATAAATAAGGGAATTAAAGTGGTATATTAGAAGACATATAATACAAAACCAGTCAGTAATGAAGAAACACAGGAACAAATAACATAAAACACGTAGGAAACAAATAGCAAGCAGCAAATTCTATCTTACCAGTAATTACATTAAACAAATCAATTAAACCCTCTAGTCAAAATGCCAAGATTACCAAAATGGATAAAAATGGATAAAAACCTATGCTTTCTTGTTGTAAGAGATACATTTTGGATTCAAAGTCACAAATAGGAAAACAGTTGCCAAAAGAGAGTTACCGTGTCTATGCTAATACCAGATAAAATAAACTTTAGGA